ATCAGCAAACTTGCTGAGGGTGCACTCGATTCCACTGTTTATCTTTTTACCAAGCTTAGCAACTAAAGAGAACACTTGAGTAAGGGCTCATGAGTTCACACTTCACTAGAGCATAAAGAAGAGCATTTCTCTCCAACCACTGTTAAGGTGATTCTCACCTCAGGATTAGTCAAGTAGTAATGGTCAATGTCCCATGAATTAATTTGCTGACAGATCTGTTCACCTTGTCATCCAAAGGATCCTTCTATACAGCTCTATAGAGGCCCTCAAAGGTCTGGATACTACAGCTTTAATGCAGTGGTTCCACATACCATAAATTCTTAATATGAAGCTAACAAGCATTTAACAACAACTCCTACACAGGTAAAAATATCTTCCCATACCAAAAACCCAAAAGGATGCGGTATTTCTAGGACAATATTTTGAAGATGAACCTAGTAATTTTGAGTTTTGACAATATTTTCCAAACAGCATTATGTCCTTTTACAAAGTTAAGATTATTTCTTCTGAGCTTAATTTATAGAAATGTCTAATGTTGTTTTCAGTTGTGCCAAAGAAAGAAAATAACAGAGACTTTGTTTAAACAGCAGATTTTCTCATTAAAAGTGGTCATGCACAAGATAATTCACCATTACTGTGCAGTTATAGGAAAACTATGACAGGGTTTCAGAAATAATGTGGCGTTGTTGCCTGTGCATAGCAATTAGTTAGTGGCCTAGTTCAGCTGAGAGTTTCAGTGTCTTATAAAATGTCTAAAGAATAGCTGTCCTAGTTAACATAATTGACTGCAAGGGACAGTTGAAGGGCACAGTTTATTTATTTCGGAAAACATTACCCAAAAATTAAATAAATTTGAGCTATAAACAAACTCTAGGTAGAAATATGAGTAAATGGGAAATTCTAGATAGAGTATATGGAGCGGACTGATAAAAACATTACTCCACAGCACTACATATCTTAGCTGGCAAATAATCAGATGTCTTCTTGCTTAAGATTGTGAGCTGTTTTATTGATCCATACTTACAAGAAGAGATATTCTGAAGAAAAACATTACTCAAAATATCTTTGAGTGTTTATATAAAATAAATACATAAATAAATAAATAGAGCTACATACCACTACTTGTTGTTTTATCCTACCATTACTGCTTGTAGAGTCCTCATAACTCTATAATGAATGTTCACACCATAGGTTTCCCATATGACATTTCCCCAAACCTCTAAATCTCATTAAAAACAGAATGTTCTTGATTTTCAGCAAATCCCCCCTCTATCTATATAGCCCATGCAGTCTGTGCTGCAACATGCCTCAGAAGGAAGGCACTACTAGGGGAAGGAGAACAGCTACAATGGCTCAGTGGCCTCTTTCCTAAGTGGCCTTAAGTAAATTAGAGTAATCCATTTTGTATGCATAATATTTGGATTAAATATAATCTGCCATTTTGTTACCCACTCACTTGCTATTGCAAGGACTTTTGAAACTGCCTCCCTCCTGCAGCTGTAAGCGTACAGTGAGGCTGTGTTTTGCCAAGCTCTGTTTGGCAAAGAAAACAAGTTTCATGAGTCAGAAAAGACAAGACCTTCTCAAACTCATAGTATCATGTGTCTTTTCTGTAATTCTTGGAATAGTTCTCGTGAACTTGCTCTGACGGTGAACAAATGCTACAGGTGACATTTGTGATAACTGAACTAAGGGTACAAGTATTATCCTTGTTCCCTACAAAGTGTGAGCTCCCCATTCGCTGAAAACCAGTGCTTGTTCTACTTCTGATACCCATAATCTTTGTTCAAACCACAGAACCTCCATTGTCACAACTGTTTTAATGGTTGGTTGGCCAACACTAACCAGGACTGCAGAACATGTATACAGTGTGCACATGGGCTGTGCTGTGGAGAACGATGGCAATTTACCTCTGCACTACTCAGCTGCTCATCTGTATGAATCAACTTGGCATTCAAAAGCATAACAGTGATCCTTCTGTACTGTGCTAATTCTGTTTGTTAGAAGCACTGGTCTACAGAGAGGCAATTATGCATTTATTGTGGCTGTCCATGAAGTGGTTATCATATTCAAGCCCTGTATGCTGCAGTCCCAATAGATGCTTATTCTGACGTAAATTAATGAACAGGAATCGATCATAACAGTTTCTTAGTTGATGCCCTAGCAGAAGTTGAAAGAAGCAAATAGAAAACAGAACATAAAGTGTTTTGACAAATACCTTCAAATACATGTGCATGAAGGATGAGGAAAGGCAACAGGCTTCTAGCAATGCAGACCTGTCCCTAAGCAAATCGAGTTAGTGTGGCATAATGAATGTGGGCTATGTTCCCAGAAATCATAGTGTGGCTGAAGTGCCTTTGTCATAAGGTTTAGTATCTGTTTATCTTTACTAATGCAAACTGCAGGTGGTGGATTTAGACATGAGGAAACCAAAAAGGGATATAGGTGATATTATTAACATATGGTAAAGAGAAATGTCAGTATTCTTTATCACATGAAATAGTGTTTTTCCATCATAAGATGACAGATCTTGCCTCCTAAAACAGTCACCTAAAGGTGGAAGGCTTTTTTTTCCTTTTGTTATTAGAATAACCCTTAATTTAAAAAAAAATGAACTAAATGCTTCCAGTGCAAGAGCCCCCTAATTTATTTTTTTTTCACTGTGTGATGTAGATACAACATTAATTAGTGAAATTTAGGTGGACTGGAAAGGAGTTTTGCTGAAGGCAGAAGGTAATGATCCACATAGTGCATTCATAAAATAGATAACTGAATAGGCAGCATCTTTCTCTGTAATTCTTGTAGCTGACTGTAAGTTTTCACTTGAAATGTAGGTTTTCATAATGAAATTATACTGCATACCTGCTTTTATTTCTCTGATCATGTGTGCCTCAAAACTGAGCTAATTTGATTTCTTTCTTGCTGAAAATATATTTATTCCAACTAAGTCAGAATCCAGTGTGCGTTCTAGACCCCAAAGGAATTGTTTGTTCTTAGAATCAGCTGTGTGGGATGTGCAGTGAGTCCAGACTCAGGCCTTTGGACAAATTGTTCAGCTGAAAGGGGGAGGGTAACTTCCCTATATTACAAGGTGTCGATTTTCATTTCTCTTTAAATAATATCCCAATTTAAATGGTATATGGTTCTCAGGTCAAGTCTTGGTATGTTCAGTTTTAGCTATAAGGTTGTGTTATGTTTGGATCCTTAACAGAAGGTGTGAGAAGTGTAATCTACCTCTCAGAAGAGCACTACTGTAATTACTGTGTCCTAATGAGCATGACAGTGCAAAGAGGCACTGACAGCATATATTTTAATAACATGTAGCCTTTGCACAAGATTTAAGCTCCAATATTTTGCAAAGACTGAGTGAATAATCTTCATGTCACCTATCTGGAAACATGTAGCTACACTTTTTTACTTTCATTTTGTAAAGCATTATACTGATTGTTAAGAAGCCTGAATTTCTTTTGGTTTCCAGAATAAGCCAAGGGCTTTTCTAGAACTATGCCTTTAAATGATTTAGCAGCTTTCATATACACTTAGCTAGTGTATACGAAAAGACATAGTCCCTTCCCCTTTGAGTTTTAAATCTGAGGTCCTCATCCAGCAACATTTCTCCGAGTATTATATTTTTATGTGTGTGAGAGGTTCACATTAAACTTCCACTGGGAAATATTTACAGAAAGACCACACCTGCTGAACTTCAGCCTTCTGGCAAGTGCACTATAGAGGTCTAATGGGAATTCATAGAGAAGAAAGGTTGCCTGCATTTAAAAAGGGTGGGAACTCTCCAAGCTCTGAAGCTATGTGCAAGTTTATATTTGGATAACCCAATAGCTATGCATATAAATCGTCAGGGAAAACTAATGTACATGTGCACTATATCAAACATCTTGATGTCTCAGCCATGACTTTCATATGCACCAAAGTGCACATTCATTGCTGAAGGCTGTATGCAGTGAGACATTTAGAGTTTAAAAGGACACATTGTTTGAATGTATCTGAATGCAGAAACCAGTGACTCACTTTCTTTAATAATTGGGAAGCACTTTTTGTGTTCTGTCAAGGATTTCTAGAAGGATTTGTAATCAAGCAATCCTGAGACAGTACAAACTAGAATTTAATATTGAAATTTAGAAGAAATGAAATGGAAGTGCTATCCCAGCCACAGCCTCAGTTTCTAATTTTTTTCCCCAGCCACATTTTTTTTCATGGAACCTACTGTAATGTATTTTTAAGAAGCTATGTCATGTTTTATAAATGAAAAACACTATGAATTAAGTATATATCCTTTGTCTTGTTTATTAATTCCATACTACAACTTTAAATTTTACATTACTTCTTTCTTATTTTTTCTGAGTACAGACATTAATGCCTTCATACTGGCTTTGGCATGGTATGTGTTATTTATGTCCTAAAGTTCCAGTTGTCTTAGTAAGATTGGGTGCTCTACAGCTCTTGCCAGCCTTGCAGTGACTCTCAGTCCCCTTCAATCACCCCAGGCTCCTTAACAGGTCTGTTATTTCATTTGGGGTTAAGGTACAGCATATCTCATAGTTTTAGCTTCTCAGTCTTCTCCCTTGCTGTAGATGGTATCCATACCAATGTGTAGCATGATGAGCTTTCCCTGTATTTTCTAAAAATATGTTTGCTATGTCAAAATAACTTTTCTCAAATGGTAATACAGATTCCTGAGCACCATAGGTTTAATTCAAGATATAATTAAAAGACTGCGTGAAGTGAAGACTTTAAATCTGCTTTTATATTCAGCTTTTTTTTTTCACTCTTAACTGAACCACATACTGTAACAGCCTGCTCATTTCTAAAGAGCAGTGATTGCATCTCCTGAAGAGGCTGCTTCACTATGAACTCCCTCCTGCAAGGTGCTAATTGCTCTGGCCCTCACTCATTGAAGTCCTTAGATGCTTAGCTGCTGGACTAAGATCAGCGTCTAATACTTTTCAAGATACATATCTGTGCTCCAAGAAGGATCGTTCATTCTTTGCTCCTGTCAAAGGATGGGTACTAAATAAAGGAAATAATTTAGTCTTTGGTTATCTAGCAGGAGAGGGATTATCATGCTAGACTGGAGTACCTTGAAGTCAGCTCAGTTTACAGTATCCCATCTGCTGTGCTCTATAATGGTGTTCAGATTATGATAAGATGTATATTTCTGTGTTAAAGTTAAACTAATAACAAAAATAAATAGATAGCAAAAAAAATCAACATGTTTTAACTTTACTATTATTTCATCAAGCAATAATGAACTGGGAATTTGGCCAGTATATTAAAAACATAGCCAATAAATCCTACATTATTTTATAATTAAGCACATATACATATATGGACTGCACAGAAAAACAGTGAAATAATTGATCCATGTATGTAATTACTGGTGTACCAATAAAACCAAAATGTTTTCTTGGAAGATAGTACAACTCTGAGTTAGGACTTAAACAGTAACTTACTGGGTTACTTCTGAGAGAAGAACAGTGAACTATTTCAAATATGCTGGACATGTTCTTCAGGAAAGGAAAAATTTTTTATTATTTACACTAATATATAAGGTCTCCCCTTACATAGGCTTGCCTCACTTCAGCCAACTGAAGTAAAGGTCTAAAGCCTGAGCCATTTCAGGCAAACTGCAAAGAGGAAGAGGGGGGTCTTACCTGTGTTGTCATCCTCTGGAGTCAGGATATCAAAGAGTTTTCTTAAGGATGACCATAAAACTGTGGCTTTCACTACAGCACCCATTGCATTGCTGTTGCTCTCAGGAGAACAAATTTATTCTCCACAGCCACACCATCTTGTAAACTGTTATGACAAGACAAACCTTTCTCATGCCACGAGAGAGAGAGTGAACTGTACATCCTGTTGGTAACATATAGAAGTGATCAATTTCTGTAAGTACACACTTATTTAATACATATATACTTAAATAAGAAGGATCATAAAGACATGTGTAGTAGATCCACTGATTGTAGTCCCTAAAGCCATGGTTTGATGTGCAGTGGTGCCACCCCAAGTCACTCACTTCTGTAGCTGTAGCTGCTTGTGGAGGCAACACAGTAAAGCAGATCAGCAGCTCAATTTAATTAAATTTAACTGTTTTCCACACTATTTTTGCTAACTCAAGTAATTATCCACACTCTGTATGACCCACGTACAGCTATATACCAGTATGTAGAATTGATGCAAAAAGGCTGAGGATTGGAATACCAACAATATCTTCACTTGGCAGTGGCACTACATGGTATACTTGTCCCTGAGGTACCATTGGAAACTCACAAATTTGTTTTCAGTGTAAATGGAAAACAAATATTAAAAAAGACCCTTTTTAGGTACACAAAAGAGCTTTGTAGTTTAGACTCTGAAATGGACTTGACCTTCTGCCAGAGAACTTGCCTGTGGACATGAGCAGTCTTGCAATTACTGGCTGTTCCATTTTGTCTGAAAATACAATGTTGTAGGGAATGTTGCAGAGATACGTTTCTTAAGTTTGTAAAGTAGTTGCATGAGAAAAGCCAGACAGGCAAGAGGGGTTGGAATGAAAAGCAAAAACACTCAAAAAGGACTGAAGCTATTAAGGCATAACATGCTATATTATGTATACTGTTTTGTTTCTTAGAAATGGACTTGCATGTATTTGCAAATACTATTTACTTACTATACTACAGTGAGGACACTTGTCTCTTTACTAATTTCACTCGAGTTTCAACTTTCCTGTGACTTCTTACATTTCCCAGGTGCTGGAGAAGTGATTCCCCTGCAGCCCATTGTGAAGACCATGGTGAGGCAGGCTGTCCCCCTGCAGCCCACAGAGGTCCACAGTGGAGCAAATACCCACCATGGAGCAGATATCCCATAGAGGAACTCACAACAGAGCAGGGGAATGCCTGAAGGAGGCTGTGACCCCTTGGGAAGCCCATGCTGGAACATGCTCCTAGCAGGACCTGTGGCCTCATGGAGAGAGGAACCCATGCTGGAGCAGGTTTGCTGGCCCTGTAGGGGACCCATGCTGGGACAATCTGTCCCTGGAAGGGACCGCACAGAAGCAGTTTGTGAAGAACTGTGGCCTCTGGGGAGGAGCCATGTTGGAGAAGTTCATGAAGGACTGTCTCCTGTGGGAGGGACTCCATGCTGGGCAGGGGAAGAGTGTGAGGAGTCCTCCCTCTGAGGAGGAAGGACTGGCCAGAAGCATTTGATGAACTGACCACAATCCCCATTGCCCATCCCCCTGCACTACTGGAGGTGAGGAGGTATAGAAGGTGGGTTTTAGTTTTGTTCCTATTTCTCATTATACTCCTCTGATTTGATTGGCAATAAATTAAATTCGTTTCCCTGGGCGGAATCTGTTTTTCCCATGACCAGTAATTGCTGAGTGGTCTCCCCTGTCCTTATCTTGACCCAGGAGCCTTTAGTTTTATTTTCTCTCCCCTTCCCAGGTGAGGAGGGGAGTGATAGAAAGACTTCTGTGGGCATCTGGTGTCTAGCCAGATTCAACCCACCTCGGTCAGTAAGAAGACATTTGGTAAGTGCAATCTTTGGGCATGTGACAAGACAGCATTTGTAATGTTATCCAAAGAATCTGTAGTGATTTAAAATCCTATTGTAGTTTCTGTATCACTAGTTTCATTATTTGATTAAAGTCCAGCAGAGCATTAAGGATTACATTTGACTGAGCATGAATGATTTACAATTAGTTAGAAAAAATAAAGGTATTAAGGAATGTGCCAGGTTAATTTACTTGACAAATGAGTGTAATGCTACTTACACAAACATTTCAAAACAGAGAAGCACCTGGTTCATAATGTATTTTGTAGAAGCAATGAAAAAAGTAATTATAGAGAACTGTAAAAACATTGCCAGGACGTATAGCTAAGATCACTAGGAATGCAGGGGCTGACTTCCACTGCACTTCATGGTTGTGCTGGGTCCCTCCCATGACTGACCCACTGGGTGACAATCAGTAAGCTGAGGAATCCAGAGGTAGGGAAGATATAAGCTATACTTGGCAGTTAGGGCATGATTTGGTATTCGGCCTGGGGTTTGTACGAGGGGATAATTGTAATTCATTTGTATTACAGTATCTGCTAATGCCAAGCTTTTAGTATTTTTCCAATTTAATGTCAATAATTCTACAGTAATGTTGATATCTAGCTTTTTAAAACACTACCCGTTTTTAATTTGTTTATGTTGGCGACATTTGTTATTTTACAGTAGTATAGGAAACATCTAGTGGTGACTGATCTAAGCCACTTCCTGTCTGTTTTTACTTGATCATGATATTGCTTTGTCAACAGGATCAACAATATAATGTGCAGCATTGCAAATGTAAAGAAATAAACTTTTCCAAAAAGCCCAACTATGCAGATTTATCTCTGTGGGTATTGTTGGGTTAGGTTGTCACATTCAAGTATTATAAAGCGTCCATATGTTCCATATCTATCACTTCACATAGATATTGTGTTCCACATATTTATACAGTCCTAAGTATTTTAGTTAAACTTCTAAACTTTAAAGAAAAGCTATGCTGGTCATCTGGCCATATCGAAGTGAGAAGACACAGAGGTAATAACCCTTACAGCTGATGATATTCAATCATTTCTAGCTTCCATTAAGGACAACATCCTTTCTTTTGTTCACTTCTTCAGCATAGAGGCTGTTGCCTCTATAGGTGGGATTTTTTCCAAACATCTTCTTAGCAGGTGAGGACAGGCAGATTATAGGAAAGGCAGTACAAATGGAAAGTATATCAATGCTCATCTGACAAATAAACAAGCCATGATTTTACCATGGCAACTGCACAGGCTATCTCTTCACTTCTGCTAGTCTCACTCAGTGAGGCTCTCTGCAGACACGGGATCTGAATCCCTGCTTCTCTCTGCAGACCTTGGGGCTTGAAGATGGTATTCTTTATGCTCCCTAAAGAAGGTGTGCTTCACTTTGCAGTCCTTGACTCTACCGGAAACTGCATTACCCACAAGGAGCAGAAGCACCTCTTCTGTTAAAAGAGCAGTGCCCTGCTAAGAACATGTCTAGAGACTGGCCACATATCTTCCCCTGAGAGATGTATATTTGTTTTTTTCCCTAATTTTTACTTTATGATTCTCATTATTAAAAAAGATAAAATGATCGAGGACTTCATCTAATCAAAGGCTCATCATCAAAAGCAGACATGAATTGAGGGAGGCCAAGGACCTGCAGTCTGACTCTACCCTCCTACATAAAGCTTTTGCCTAAACTTGCAAAAGCTCCCCATTGCACCAGAAAAGGACACAGGGTAGTTTCTGGCCTCTCCCAGAACTACTTCTGTCTGTACCCGGGAGTGGTCAGGGGAAGTCTGAGAGTTTAGCAATGAGTCCTTCTCCTGCCAGGGACTTCTCAGTCCAGTCAAACCTACAGGTTTCAGTGCTCCTAAAATGCAGTTGTAGATACTATTTTGAATGGCTAATGCTCCCCATCCACTTAATATCCTAGGGGTTACAATAGCTACCAAGTAATTTGGAGCCTTGTGCTCGCCTCCCTTCTCAGCCTGATGTGGCTTGATGTCTTCATGGTGTCTTTCATATCTTCCATGTCTCACAGGAGCGCTTGACCAGCTGGGCTGAAGTTACTGAAACTGCATGGCAAATAGGAGCAGAGAAGGTAAGGAGTACTTAGATGTTCCTTCAGGTTCAGGTACCACAGAAGAGGGCTCAGGTGGACCTCAAGTAGGCAGGATTCTTAAACCTACAGCTTGATCTAAACTCCCTTCAAAAATTACATGAGCTTACTAGGTTTGTGTATGTTGGAGAGGAATTGCATGAGAAGCAAATCCTTTAATTCAAGACTCTGGACCCTCTCATGTAGCAGAGCACTTAAATAAGTAAGACTGTTGGAACAACTGTACTCGGCCAAACCAAAAACCTACTTAGCTCTAAACACAGGTGCCAAATGTGCATTAAGTACTTGATGAGCTCACAGTTTCCTGCAGCTCATGAAGGTGAACAAGGAAGCACAAGAAATAAGCACTGGTGTTCAAATGAAATGCTTGCCTGCACCCCTCAGAGAAGCATACTTTGTTGGGACCAGTGGCAAAGAGCCAGAACTGCTGGAGACAATTCCTCATTAATTCCTGGCATAATAGATGTTAAAAAAATAAAGGCTTATTTTCAAATTTAAAAAAAAAGATTAATAGAATATTCTATTGGATCTGCATCTTCAAGATTCAGATATTGTCAGCAAATGTGTCTTCTGTAGAAAAAAGATATGCCCTCTTCTGGAGTACCAGGAGCTAGTCTTTTTACTCAGCTTGTTCCATCTTTGAGAAAATTCGCTGAGATCATCCATGTCAGTTCTCATGTCTCTATTGGGGGAGGTATTTTTATGTCTAAAATATGTCAATAGCATCTTGCACTGTAAATAAAACTGTGGTCTCTGTCTCTTCTGCTGCCAACAAAAGTAAAACCAGGTTAAAAACCAAAACAATGACTATTAGTAAGCATTTTAGTGACAATTCCTGGAGTACTCCCTCGGTAAATGCTGGCTCAGGAGCTAACCAAGCTGGAGGAGGTGCATTTACATTCAAAGTCTGAAACAGATTTTGCTTCCACGAGTTTGTCCAAGCCACTTTTGATTTACGTGAATTTTTACTATCCATAACATTTAGAGAGTTTCACAGGTTAATTATGTATGCATGTAAAGGTACTTCTTTTGTTTATTTTGAATCTGTTACTTGCTTGTTTAATTTGATGTTGCTTCTATTGAAAAAGACAATGAAAAATCATTCCCTATTTCCTATCTCTATACTACACAGGATTTTATAAACCTTTATCAATTTCTTCTAGATCAACTGTTTTCCAGAATGAGTTTTCCATTTTCTCATGTTGAACCTGTGTGATATTTTGCATTTTCTTTGTTGCTATTCCCTTGATTTATTATATAATTTCTGAGGTGGATGAAGAGAACTGCACATTGTATTCAAGATGTGGAAACATTTTAAATTTATTTTATGGTGGCATAGTAATGTTTTCCTTTTTTGTTTCTCTATTCTTTCCTAATAATTCCTAACTTTCTGTCTGCTTAGACAGCTGTTTAACACTGAGGTGGTATTTTCATAGAACTATCTATTTATATGGCATGATTTCAGACTGCAATGATAATCATTACTCTGAGTGAACTGTTGGGAACGAGGTGAACTACCATCATCACTTTGTACAAGAAGAAAGGAATTAAATCAGACTGTTCAAATTACAGTGGTATTACTCTGCTCTCCATTGCTGGCAAAATCCTGGCAAGAATACTTTTGGACAGACTAACACCCGCTATAGCAGAAGGAATTCTACCTGAAAGTCAGTGTGGTTTCAGAGCCAACAGGAGCACCACAGACATGGTGTTTGTTCTCAGACAACTGCAAGAGAAGTGTAGGGAACAGAACAAAGGTCTCTATGTAACCTTTTTTGACCTCACCAAGGCTTTCGATACTGTGAGCAGAAAAGGTCTATGGCAGATTTTGGAACGTTTAGGTTGTCCCCCCAAGTTCCTTAAAATGATCATCTCACTCCCTGAGGATCAACACAGCCAAGTCAGATATGGCAATGCACTTTCTGAGCCCTTTCTAATAACTAATGGTGTGAAACAAGGCTGCGTTCTTGCACCAACCCTATTCACAATCTTTTTCAGCATGATGCTCCAAAGGGCCACGGCAGACCCCGATGATCAGGACGGTATCTACATTCGATACTGTACTGATGGAAGGCTATTCAACCTAAGGCAACTGAAGGCCCATACCAAGACCTTAAACCATCTTGTCCAGGAGTTGCTCTATGCTGATGACACCGCCCTTGTTGCCCACACAGAAGCACCTCTGCAGCGTTTAACATCCTGCTTTGCAGACGCTGCTGAGCTCTTTGGGCTGGAAGTCAGCTTAAAGAAGACTGAAGTTCTCTATCAACCTGCACCTCAGGAAGTCTTCCATCATTCCCATATCACCACTGGCCAATCAGAGCTCAAATCAGTCCAGCAGTTTAATTACCTAGGCAGCCTCATCTCCTCGGACGGTAAGATTGACAGAGAGATAGACAACAGGTTAGCAAAGGCATATAGTGCTTTCGGAAAGGTTCATAAAAGAGTTTGACAAAATAAACACCTGAAGAAAAGTACAAAGATCAGTGTTTACAAAGCCATTGTGCTGTCTACTCTCTTATACAGATCCGAATCGTGGGTCATCTACCGCCACCACCTGCGACTCCTAGAATGCTTCCACCAACGCTGCCTCTGTACAATCCTAAACATCCACTGGTCAGATTATGTGACCAATACATCTGTTCTAGAACAAGCAGCAATCACAAGTATTGAGGCCATGTTGCTGAGAACACAGCTGCGCTGGGCAGGGCACGTCTCAAGGATGAAGGACCACCGCCTCCCTAAGATCTTGTTTTATGGTGAACTTGCCACCGGCTGCCGCAAGAGAGGAGCCCCAAAGAGAAGATACAAGGACTCGAGAAAGCATGCAGGATCACCCTTGAGGAGAAAAGACAACACAGAAAGAATCGTGTCTTACAGAATATACCACCTAAGGAGTCCTTCTGCTGTGCCTTTTGCAACCAGATGTGCCTATCTCGTATTGACCTTTTTAGCCACCAGCACGCTTGTAACAAACGTGGGTAGAGCCCTTCCCAAATCTTCATTCACAAAGCCTGGCCATGATATTGTATTTTTTTTAATATGATTGATATCTCTGCCAGAATTGCTATAGCTATTAACAGAATTGTGGATAGTTCTTTAAAATGAAAAATGTTTAGATACATTATGGTACTCCGTTTTGCCCTTAATTATTAAAGTATTTTATATACTTTCAAATAATTTATTATTGTGTGAGGAGGAGTTTTATAGCCAGACACTTAAATATGAAGGTTTCCAAATTCAGATCATAACCCATGCTCTTTTCACTTGAAACGTGAAATTACAACTCTGAGTTTGACAGGAAATACTCACCCACACAGACAGCTATAAGAATAGTTACTGTGTAAGGCACTTATGTGATTAAATCAGCTCATGAAATTCCCTGAATTTATTTATTTTGTGTCTTGTTTTCAGCTATGATGTATGTGCTATAGCACAAATATCTGACAGTTATGAGGCAAGTCTTAGTGAACTGGCAAAAAGAAGAGCCCTTTCCCATGGGCAGAATCTAAAGTAGGATATCTTGAAGATTTCTTTATTATGCCACTTATTTATGTAAGAACAGGTCAAACATGAATGACATTTGTGTGGATTTTTTGCATTCTCCAAAATCATAAAGTGAGAGGATAGGCCTATAAACTACATATTGCTGTTTAATTTTCTTTCTGTTAGCAGCTGGATATTGTGGCAATTCTGAAATTTACATAGACCTTTCACAGTTCACAGTGTAGCATCTGCAAAAGCAAGATCATGTACAGTCTTACTTTTGTTTCACTGTACTGGAATTCCAGAACAGTGGAAAACAAGGAAGCAAAAGAAGTACAAAACTATCATGAGAAATCTTGGATAAAAAGAGGGAATGAAAGAAAAAAAAAAAGAAAGAAAGGAGAAAAGAAGGGAGGGAGGGAAGAAAGAAGGAAAGGGGGAAGGCAGGAAGGGAGGGAGGAAAGAAGGAAGGGAGGGAGGAGGGAAAAAGAAAGAAAGGAAGGAAAAAGAGGAAGAAAGAAAGAGAGAAAGAAAGAGAAAGAAAGAAAGAATGAAAGAAAAAGAGAGTAAGAGAGAATGAAAGAAAGAGAGAAAGAAAGTGAATAACTGCCATTCCTGCTAAGTTAGCAAATATAAAAGCTCAAAAGTCAATGTTCTTGCAATGAATTTGGATACATGGCTTGATAAAAGAAGTATGACAGTACAGAACACTGATATCTCTTCTCTGAAACTGATATAGTGGAGAATCTGTGTAAACAACCACCCCTCAAGTACAGAATTTTTTCTCCTTTTAATCTGTTCTTTCTTACAGAGAAATGTAAAGCAGTGGCATGAGAAAACAGTATGATAAAATTTTAAGAATATTTAATGTGAAAGATTTAGTTTCAAGACATAATCTCTGATCTGTATTTCAAAAGAGATAGAACAATGTGGATCCAGCCCACAAAAGACAAAACTCTGGAAATCTTGGAGAGACAGATTCCATTTTACATAAAGATCTGGTTTACCATTTCCATTTACACAAATATTTCATGAATAAGGTATCCTAAAAAATTACAAAGGAAGCATTGGGAGCACAAAACTTAGGCTTTCAGACACTATTCTAAAAATCTTTGGACTTTAATTCACAGGTCATTTCTTGTGACAGGGATTCACAGTCATTTCCCCACAAGAACACAAGTATCTCAAAGGATCAATAATCTAAAAAATTACTACCACCTTGCTGCCTGGGTTTATTTCTTTTCTTTAAGTCCATCAAAAATATTTATTCTTTAATTAATCTTCTAATTCTAAAACACTGATAATTTTTTTTAAAAAATGCATTTCAAAATTATCTTAAATTATACATATTCATAACTCCAGTCCAGAAAAAAATTTGTACTCTTCTCTAATTTTCATCAGTAGGAGACAGTTGCTATAAAATAGCTCATGATTAAGTGCACCACACTGAGAATGGGATTTACCTCATCTAAATTTAGCCACCTAAGAGTTTGGCAGCTGTGAGGTATTCCAAAAAGGTAACTTCAGCCATTCAAGCTAATCTTTCTAGGCTCCCTCTATAGTTTTCTACAGATTCAGAGCCAAAAGGTAGAATTGCACTGCACTGACCCTTGAAAACCTTAGAAAATGCTTCTCCTTTGTCCCACATGCCTTACTAGCCCTTCTTGTCTTTAGTCATAAAGTTTCGTTTGATAACTCCTAGAGACAAAAAACATCTCACCTTAAAACAGATGGAGTAGACAAAGCTACAGAATATTGTGACCTTGTAGACTGAATTGCTTTTTTCCCTCGATTGCTAAATACAGTTTCTGGAGAAAATCCAGAGAAAGATAATTAACTTAATGAAAGATACAGAAAGTTTGAGTCAGAGGTACTGACAGTATTGAAGCAGCTTATGCCTGTGTCTCTCAGAAAGAAATCCAAATTGAATACCTGGAATATACTGAAAAAAATAATTTGTACTTACTTTTTCTGAGGTCCTGTCTTAGCTGAAATCAATAAACAAATGGATACATATCAGGTTTAAGCTTGGTCTGAAGGTTTAGTTTTGACTGAAATAGTTGACTTAGAACAATGACTGGAATGAACAATAAAAACAGTGAGGCCTCTCATTCTGGTAGTGCTTATTCCAGTATACTGATATTGATACACTGAATGTATTAAAGTGGTATGAAAACAGTCAGCAAAATGGGTCGAAATATGTCATTAATTTTTAAATGAAGGCCACATCACATAATTTATTTTATTACATTCTTTTTTAAGAAATTTATTATGATAGTATTGGCTAAGTTATTTTAACATTTTTATGGAAACTGCAACTTATGACACACTAGCTATGCAAATTCTATGGCCTCTTACTCCGTTGCTAAAACTGCTATGATGTCAATCCATGTACACTTTAATTTTTAAAGAATGCACTGGAAGACTGACAGCTATGAGAACAACTTGGCATATACTTTAACAGTTTTATATTATATGGAGCTTAGCTTGATAAAATGTAAAAGCAGATCTTTGGTATTAGTTCTTTCTTATTAAGTGGATATAAACCATACAGTGTAAAAATTAGCAAAGCTTCATATATTCTCCCTTAGTTATTATGCCTGGTGCTATGATAGGGCTACTGATCATGGGTTTGTTCAGCTGATTTCCAGTATGTTCAGGGAACATAAGATGCTTTGGGGTGAATGAAAGTCTTAACAATGAGGCTTGCAGCTGTTTCTGTGAGCTTGTGAATACCCAAACCAGGCAAAAATACCCAGAGTAGATCATATGGCTATCACCTATTTATTTAAAATAAGCAGCCTTTTTTCTCTAAAGGCAGCCCGAGACTCTGTTTTTCACCTTTTCTACCAAATGATTGCAACAGTGACTATCCCACAGGATTCATCCTCAACAGGACTTTCTCTAGTTATTTTCTATCTTCAGAAGTAAGTCTCTAACTGGCCTTTATGAAGTTATTCTGCCTGGAGATAAGACCTGATCACTCTCTTTATCAATGAGCAGTGTCTGAAACCTGCAGGCATTTCATCAAGTACAATACAAGATTAATCAAGTAAAACACCTGAGAGACAAAAAGGGGGGCCAGTGCTGAGAGAGGCTGAAAGCCCAGTGGGCTCCGTTGTGGATTCTCCATCCTGTGAGATGTATCAGATCAACTGCACAATTACAAAGCACAAAGCCTAATTCTGAAATTTTGTAATAGCACTGCATATGAAACTTAAGAAGCTGTTTAAGACTAGCTAAATTGATTTTAGGGCTTCAGTTAATAACTGTAACTAGGGACTACAATCAACATGGGTAGAAAGATCCCATACCAACTATTTCAATTTCACTGTCGTGTGCTGGGAATGAAAGAGGAATAAGAAAGTTTTAATTAAACCAGTTTAATTTTCTTTGATCATCTAATACAGGGTTAATAAATAAATCTTTGATCCTTTAACTTCTGTGATTTGATTGCCATCTTTCTAAATTGGGTGATCTGGCCAAATGATGACTTAACCATGTGTTATTTTTAACCCACTGAACTTTTGATCCAATATCTGTTTAAACTTTGATTTTAAAAATTATCTTAATTTCTACGTGGGCTGTCGACATTTTCAGTGATAAAGTCTTAGCAATGTCAGTTTTGTAATGTTTGCTTATTACAAAGCAATGGAATTTGCCTTCTGCAAACATTAGCAGAACTGGTTTGTTCTTTTTGTAGCAGAATGGGCTTGAAAAATAAAAAACAGGTAAATTAGCTGAGGTGCATAAGCTTGGCCCACTCTACAAATGAAAACCTTTATCCAATGCTATTCCATAATTCTAGTAATTCATAGCAGTAATTAATAATGTTATATCTTTTTAGAATTATGTCTAAGAAGTCAAAACAAATCTTTCATTGAAGCAAAATATGAACATTTCATAAAAGGACAAATTTTCCTGAAGTCATCTCTAAAAAGACCCAATCTAGAATTAATAAATGAGACTAACCAGCTGCAATTCAGTAGGTTTTACAGGAAAGAGCTGAATCAGTGGAACTGAATGCAGTGTTTCCAATTCTTCCTGGCAAGTGAAGGAATAAAGAAGTAAAGAATGAAGTCAGAATCACACTATGGGAATACCATCATATTTTTGTAATTAATTCCATTCAAGAAAATCTTAATTGAATATTTTAGAGTTAAGATAACAATGCTGTTAAACAGCAACACAATATGATGAAGTCAACAAAACATGACTGTGATAATGTAAAGAAAAATTCAAATACATTAATTTGCCCATTAGCCTTATCCTATTCCCTTTGGATTTTATTTTCTGTGCTTTATTTTTTAACCTCAGAGCTGCATTCATGTATTATTAAATCACTAACAACTGTTATTTAAAAATCTTGGCTTTCTGAGCCCAGTAAGTAATCTGGATGAGCGATCTACCTCCCTAGGGGAATTTTCCTATGAAGAAGCTGGTATGACCTCCACTCAAACAGTTTGCATGCATAATTATATTTCTGATGGACTCTAATTGTAAACATAAGATGAAAATAATTTGTAGTGAATTTTGTCTGGAAATTTGACCCTTTACATTTTTTTTTCTTTAATTTTACCTTACCCATGTTAGTAAGCAAATAATGCATTTTTGTGCCATGGATATTCAAATTAATCAAATGACTATTAAATTATGCACTTGACATCCTTACAGATAGCATATGCCTGCATTATTTGGCAGAAGTCAAATGTACAAATATGTACGCTGTGGAATGCTCCATATCTGTGTACAGTTAAACCAACATGAGGACAGTGGTTATACTGTTCTAGGCCTGTGTAACCACACAGTTTGGAATCTTTGAATAAATTGCTGAATGAACCTCATTAGGAATTATATGTATGAGGTTTACAGATGCTCCCTTTATAAATACTTATAGCTGCCACATCCGCATTCAGACCTTTAGTAGGTTCCAGGTAGCAATGTAAATACACTAGTCCTAAGTAAAAAATATCCATCCGTTGAAAATTTTGGCATCTAGCAATCTCTGGTAATGTGCAAAACCCCAAGCCAGCCAGCCTGTGCCTTTCTTTTTTAATTCCTCCCCTGTGATTTGACAGATCTTCAGGTAAAGTGCAGAAGAGTTGATGGAGACACTGACAGCTCTATAACTTTGCTCAGCCACTCTGAGGTTCATAGAGCCCAGCACAGACTGGAGTAAATGTCTACTCATTGTAAAACCTTCCCAGGTTTGAGAAAAAAAGGGTAATAAACCTGAATAAGGAATTACAAATGAGCTGGGAGAGGATCTCAGTGACTTGGGACCTTCATTCTCTGGAAGAGTTTTACATTGTCCTAGAGGACTTCCTTTTATTGTGCTGTTAGCAACTGGGAAGACTCTCCTGGCTGGATGCTTGTTTAACTTGGAGGGCTAAAGCTATTTTGTTCTGTAGTAAGTTTGTAAATTAGGCATATAATCTTCAGCCTATATTTGCCAATGTAAATCAAAGGACCAGGTATTTCCATAGGATTTTGGCATTCTATAGTTCTCTTTCTAACCTATATGACTACTGACAGTGGCTTCCTATTGCTACTGAGCACTGTCAAATGGAAAGGAAGTACCAAGCTGACACATGGCAAATGAATTATCTTTTTATAAAAGCTCATAATAGAGATAATTGAAATGCAGAACAATGTCATCACAGTCACTTCTGAACATAGGAAAATGGAATAATGCTTTCTGGAACAACAAAGGTATCTTTGTGCTCTTAGATTAAATTGCTGAACTAACTAAATATATTTAAACAGGAACTGCTTCTAGACTGTAACTTTAATGCCAGTTTTCAAATGAGGATATATTTTTAGACACAGTTCATGAATTGCTAAACCCAAGATTTTCAATTGGAAATGCAAAGCTGCTGCTCCAACCGTCTGCTATAGGTAATTGTGATTAAAACAGAATAGGCAATGGTACAAGCATAACAGCTGCATCTGTTTAGAGTTCTTCCAAAACCAGTATTGTGACAACTGAAGTAATGTATGTGCATATGTATTTCATCCCATGCTGCAAAAATTAATTTATTATTTGTGATATTATTGCTTATATAATCTCCATCCTAAACCAGGACTCTACAGTCATGTGCTGATATATATGGTAAATGGGATACAGACAGAAGGAAGACTACAAAGAGATATTAAAATAATAATGATCTACATGCTTGGTTTCTGCCTATCAATAGCCTCTGTGTGGTAAGTATTCTCCAGGTGTCACAGAGAGGGAGAGCTTTACAGAAGCATTTGAAGAGGCCTTATGAAGTAAAAGAGAAGCTCCTTTAGAAGTGAAATGGAGAGAGCCAACATCAGAAGCAGATGAAGGGTGACGGTGTTTGCTCAAACACTGCATGATGTTACAGGCAGCAAGAGGAGTTGGCACCATAATAACAAGCAGTGCCTTAATGAAAATAAAATGGGGAAGCATAAGCCACAGGTGAAGGCAATGAGCTTATGCTTGCTGTGGTAGAGAAAGATTATACACTGAGCAGTCCCAAAATTTCTGGTAATAATCTGAATGTGTGTAAGTGTTTGCCTCTGCTGAAAGTGAGGTGAGGTTTGTAGAAATACAAGAAGCAGGCAAACCCCTTCTTAGGGAGTTTTGACAAAACATACAGATAATGAGGATTTGGTAACTAAGTCGTGCAGTTTTTAGTTTAAAAATCTTGGCTGAGCAGAAGTATGTGGATGGGTGATAATTCTGATGAGTATCAGTTTTCCATTACAAGTTGGGGATATAACTTTCCATTTATTTTAACTAGCATGAAATTCATTTTAAAGTCAATCTTCTCACATCTGTTTCACTTTAATGTTATTACACTCTGCAAGGAGACTGTGGTCTAGAGAGTTAATCAGCAGCAAAAACTGTAATGGGCAGAGGAGGAGAATCTATATGGTTATTGAATCCCCACCATTGTTTTTCTCTCTTAAGACCTTACACAAAGGCCTGAGAAGTGAAAAAAACCCTTCCACTACCTTGCTTTGAGCTTTGGGTTTGTCTCCTGTACCTTATTAATTGTACCAGCAAGCAGACCAAATAAATTAATAGGGACGAATATTGCATTGGTATCAGATAATCTATAAAATTGCTGAAGATGCCATTGAAGATGCACTCTGTAGTACGTTTAATTCAAAAAGTCATTCAAAATGAGAAGTGCAGATATGCTAGGATAATAAATAAACCAATATGCTACTGTTGATTTGATGACACCTCTGAAAGTATTGGTCTGATATAAATACTTCCAGGTGCTACTGATGTACTGGTCTGCACTGCTTGCATTACGTGTTTTACTGTGTTACAGTTCAAGCAGCCTGCTAGAGAGTTGTGAGGCAGGAATGAACAGAAGCAGAACTCTTTCCCAAAAACCTTCAGCTCACATCATGATTAACTCAGTTCTTGTTTTTCCAATTACCCTCCCAAATTTATACTTTTTCCAACCAACATCTTAAAAAGACTACAATAACATGGTTTTTAATTTCTATCTTCTTTCTATTTTTTTTTTTTTGTCAGGGAAATTAGCATATTTTGTTAATATGCATGCTGTATCTTCCATCTTCTGTCTTTCCTTTGTCACAGTACTGCTCCACTGAGAGAGACCCCAGTGAGCCTCTTTTCAACTGTGTGAAGATGCAACTTGCCTGAACCTGGGAGCGTCATGACTGACAGTGAGTGAAAAAGGATGGGTTACTAGACAGCCTTAGGACATGTCTTCACTAAGCTAAAGGTCAAATTTCGATCAGGCTTAATGGAAAAAAAAGATAAATCCCTCTATAGATATGCCTGTTTATCTATGGGTTGCCTTTGAGGACACTTTCTGCCTGTAACCTCCTGAGAATGACACTAGACTTACAGAAATCCTTAGGGCAGTAGCATAGTCAGAATAACCATCAGGAGATATGATTCTGTGAAAATACTACTGCAGAAGCCTATTCTGAGAAAGTGCAAAGGGATGTCTGATGAACTCAAACTATTTCTGTCTTCCCTCTCCTTGTTAACTATTCACTGCGTTGCTAGCATGTGGAAGTGATTCCAGCAGCAAGCTGAAAACCTACAGACAGCTTTAAAACTATTAGAAATATGCAGAGGCTTTGAAATCTAAGAAGGATGGTTATGAGTATTGACTTCAATCTCCTGTATCACCCACAAAAAAGATCCCCCATTACTTCAGCTGCCACTATACTTCCCCTCAGTTACCAATGTGACTGAGTCCTGCCTAACACAGTGGAGGTAAGTAAGAATACATGAACAGAAGACACAGGATAGGACCACATGGGGTGCAAAACAGAAGACGGAAGACTGCATTAAAAACATGTCCTCAATATTGTTTGGTCCTAGTGTTTCCTTCCAGCTTCAAGGGCACAAAAATAATGTACACTTAATGCACTCTGAACGGCAACAAGGCATACTTGGCAATCCCAATGCTGTATTCACCATGGGTTTTGGCAATATATGTAACGTAGTTTTCCTAATAGTTATTATGGCTCTGAGAGGTATAAAATGCCTGATATTCCAGTGCAATATCAAGTTTAAGACTAAAGTGAAACCTTAAAAATTCCGTTATTATTAGTTATTACAATGTTAATAATTTTAGCAGAAATATCCAGCTATTTGGGAGTTGTGAATGGAATTTTAGAACAGTATCACTGTGTGTTGTTAGATCAGACTTCATACCTACAGTTTACTAGGAATAAAAAAAAACTGCCTTGTGATTGAATACTATTCTGAATTCTGGTGAAGTAAACGGTTCTTTTAAGGTGTGTGTTTCCCCTCAGATCTGTATTCATCTTACAAGTTATGCTGCTATAGCTGAAAAATGAGTCTTGTACTCTCCTGAGTATATTTGCAATGGCATTAAATGATTTGTGGTCATCTTCAGTTAACATTGACAATAATTCTATAATATCTTTGAAGTAAGGCCAACACCACCCTTTTTAACTTTTTTTGGTTTTTAAATGCAATTTCTGTTATTGCATGTTTTCCTACTTTGCTGATACTTCTGGAGGGAGACTACTTCAATATTCTGTTTGGAAGTACCCCAGTTTTATGTCACCTTTTCTCCCGTAACATATTGCTGTTATTTCCTCAGATTTCTCGGAGTTTTTAATACGTGCATTTCACTGCCACTCACCCTCTACTGGTTTGAATGGTAAGAATAGGCACCATGTCCCTCACCAGTTCATCTTTTTCTGGAATCTCTCTTCTTTCTCTTGGGTCAATCATGCTAAAGGTAGATAAAATCTATTTTATCTAACATGTCAATGTCACTCTATTAACTTTCCTCTGTGGTACACTGTTTCCATTATAGGAATTTAGAAGCTTGGGAAGGAAATGAATATGCAACTTTAGCCAGGCAAATTTGAGTTTTCTTCCAAAGCTTCTCAGGATCTCTGGTCATACACTTCTTTTCTCCTCACATCAGAATGTCATTTATTCATATCATAGTCTGCTGCATTGCCATCTATAGTTCACTAGTTTTCCAGTAAAGTTGCTGATGGGAATGCCAGTTGGAGGAAACTGTTTCCTTCAATGTAATATGCTCACAAAAATGATGTGGCATTGGTTTTATTTCCTTAACAGTACCTGCTTGCAACCTGCCAACACACTGTGTGTATAAAAATATTTGCCATCTAACACATCTCCAGAAGTACCTCTTCTTATGAAAATTTTCCTTGAGGAAAATGTTCACTTCACATATATATATGTATATAATCTCCATGGTGCTACACAGCAGGCAAGAATTGTAGGTTTTGCTCTTTTAGCAATGATGAGTGAACTGACTCTTCTTTTCTACTAAACACACAATTTTACAACAATGAGCCTGTCTGGCTTCATTTTCTGCTGCTATTCAGGGGGGAGAGAAAAATTATATAAGTCAAGAACGGTGTGGTGACTGGGCTATTAACTCACTTCCATTCTGCACAGTTAAAAGAGCTTCTCTCCTGTGGATCATATGCTTAGACAGAACCACATTTATTGTTGCTTGTTGCCTCACTAAAGAAAGAATTATAGAAACATAGAACAGCCTGCATTGAAAAGGTTATCTAGCTCCAACCTCCCTGCCATGGCCAAGGACAGCTTTCACATGATTTGCCCGCAAGCTTGACATAGTTTTAACTCAGAAATGGGACTTTACCTCTTTGAGCTATTACAAAGTGCGTTTTTGCATGTCTACTATTTACCCATATATCTAGTTCCTAAACTCATATTGTGAAAATCAGGTCACAATTAGATGCCTCAATTTTCACATCCCTCCCTCTTTTTGTAATCCGTAAGTTCTTGTGTTGGTGACATTGCACTCATTGCTAAGATCCCCATTTCTGGCACCATAGTACCTCGTACACCCATACCCAATTCAAAATTAATACCTCTTCAACCTGTACTGTGATGGTCCATTGGTTCATGCAGAATTCTCCTGAATTCTAGCAATTCAGGAGAGCTAGCAATGCTGTTTTCATCCTTTTTTGTCCTCACTGTGTGCACTCTTAAAAAAATGATGTGATGTATTGCAGTTCTTGCATATTTTTCAAGTCCTCAGAGCCAGGATCTCTAAGATCTGTTTCATTCAGTGTTTTACTCTAACTGGTCAGCACTGTGTCACAGGCACCTCTGAACAGCACAATAACCAACCCCACTGGTCCACAAAACAAAAGGCCTTCTGTGGCAACAAGCTGCCACAGAAGAGACACTACCATGGAGACCATTCGTGATCCTGTAAGAAAGATCCATTGTATTTCACATCCCTTTGTTCTGAAAGCACTAGGAATTATCTCACGTCCATTCATCATGAGCCAATGAGTTATCCCAAGTTTAGAGTTTGGGAACTGCAAAAGTGTTAAAACTCACAAAAAATAGGCCTGCAACAAGAAAAGTAGAAAGGAAGTGAAACCTATATCAGCTGAGCTGGAAGTGTACCCAGAGGTACTCAAGCTCCAGCTTGAGACTTAAAGTGTGAAGGAAAGGAAGTTACTTGCACTATCCAAGTAATCAGTAGCTTTATGATAAAGCATGTGTACATGTATACATAAGCAGAAGGACTGAAGAGAAGAAAAGAAGAGATTAAAGCTGACTTCTTGTGGGGTATGCCTGAGGACTATGCATTGAACTTTTAATTTTGTTGTAGGCATTTGCATTCTTTTTGACACCTATGAACCTTGTTTCAGTTTTCCTGAGTTGCACCTGCCTGTTTTCCCTTAAGTCAGATGTGAAAGAATATGTTGTGGGTAGGTATATCTGCCTGCTGAGGCACAATGGACTACAGGGAATACAATTTGGAGACTGCAGACAAGGCACATTGTTGCTATGATCAAACATTTTTCTTGTGCATGCAAGACCCACATGAGAGCAGAGTGTGTTCCTCCAGCATTGTAAAGCCAAATGACATTCCAGAAGCAGCTGCCCAGCCAATACGTCCACGCTCAGTGTAGGTTCTCCACTCGGGAAATTTGAAGCTCCTATCTCAAATTTCTACCTGACAAAAAAATCTAGGACAATCTTATTTGGGAACTTTGGAGCTCATTTTGAGGGTTATTCACCCTAAGATAAGATTACAACAGATCTGTGATTGAACTCAAACCCAAGGTACATCTGGTGGTAAAAATTTCCATTTTTTTCTTCTTTATTTTCTTTGCAGATATGCAGGAAGAATTTTTACTTAAGTTAGTACATTCTTGATGTTAATGCAGCTTTTGTTTTACTTTTTTTTTTTTTTTTAAATTTAGGTATCAGTCTTTCAAAGCTCACTTCCAAGTGAACATCTCTCAGTTGGTAAATGATGTGAAACTTATTTTTGGAACATGTAGGAATAGCAAAAGGGCTCACTAATCTTCTAATAAGATAAAGTTACTTCTGAAGGATAAAATTAGCATGCTGGAAATTTTCCAACAATTATATTTTTACAGCCCTACCATGTATATTATATACTGTGTTTCTAAAGAATTAGTACTCCAAAACGTATGTTCCTCATGTCTTCTGCAAACTTTATTTTGAGGAAAATTTTAATGTGATAATTTAAAAAAATATTTATTTATGAAGAATTATCCAAACTGTATAATCTTATTATTATGAGAAATAAAATATTAGTAATGAAATATGCATCCTGATTTTGGCTAAGACAGAGTTAATTTTCTTCCTAGTAGCTGGTACAGTGCCGTGTTTTGGATTTAGTAGGAGAATCACGTTGATAACACACTGATGTTTCAGTTCTTGCTCAGTAGTGTTTACCCTACATCAAGGACTTTTTCTCATGCTCTACCAATGAGGAGACACAGAAGAAGCTGGGAGGGAGCAAGGCCAGGACAGCTGACCTGAACTGGCCAAAGGGATATTCCATACCATAGAATATCATGCCCAGTATATAAACTAGAGCAGTTGGCCAGGAGGCGCAGATGACTGGTCGGGGCTGGGCTGCATTGGGCTTTGGTCAGCAGGTGGTGAGCAACTGTGTTGTGCATCACTTTGTCTTTATGGAGGCTTATTCCTCCTTTTTTTTTTTTTGTTATCTCCTTTCTTCCTACTATGATTGTTATTATTGTCATTATTATAGTGTTCTACTTTATTTCCATTATTAAACTGTTCTTATTTCAACCCATGGGTTTTACCCTTTTCTGATTCTTCTCCCAGTCCCACCAGAGTGGGGAGGAGTGAGTGAGTAGCTGAGAGCTTAGTTGCTGGCTGGGGTTAAACCACAACACAGGATTCAAGAAAAAATGGTTTTACATTAGTTAAATTTGAAATTTAGATTCTGAAATCAGGAGTCAGAGGACTGATGGATCAAAAGCATGCTGATCCCATCATCCCGAGTTCAATAAACAGAAATGAACCTATGATATCTGTATTTTCTGAAAAATGGGAAAGAAAGTATAGGACTAGAGGATCAGTTTTCCTAGGGATGATAGGTTACCAATAACAACTTGATGTGTCCTGCACCATTCAGCGTATTCATAAATGATCTGGAAAAGGGATAAGTAGTCATATCACAAAGCCTGATGAGGCTATCAAATTATTTAGCTTAAAGAAGATAAGACAACCTTGATTATCTGCAGACAAGTTTATGGGAGTGACAAAGCAATAAAATGGCAGATGGAGTTCAGTATAGATAAATGCGAAGTACTGCACAGGGAGGAAAAGGATCCTTACTTCAGGTATGAAAAGGCAGGTTCTGATCTGGTCATTACTTCTCAGGAGAGAGAGTCCTGGAGTTATGAAAGTGGCTCCATGATAACATCAGCCTGGTGATCAACAGATGAAAAAAAAAAAGTGTTAAGAAATCAGTAGATAACAAAACAAATAATATCTTTTTGTTGCCACAGAAATCTATATTTTGCTTGCATTTTTTGTGTAGGTAAAGCATTATAGAAATATTGGTTGAGAGGGACCTCTGCAGGTCACCCAGTCCAACCTTTCCCTTGAAGCAGGACTATTGCCAAATCAGCTGTGATTTTGTTTAGCTGAGTGTTTATCTGAATGCTGGAAACCACCAAGAATTGGCAATTCCACAACCTGTCTGGGCAATTTGTTCCAGTGTTGCATGTTCCTTTTGGTGAAGAAAGTTTTCCCCATGTCCAGTTTGAACCTCCCAAGCTGCAGTTGTTCTTGCTCAACACAGCTGCCCAATGCTGTTGTTCCTTGTTTTCTACTTGCCACTGCCAAGAAGTGTTTGGCTGCATCTTCCTTCAGATGCTGTTCTGGTCCCTGAACTTCAGCAGTAAGATGGAAAACAGGAACATATTTCATGTGAAGCACAGCTAACTCGAATAGAATCCTTCAGGTGGGAGAGGAATTACAGAGCATATAACAACAAACTAGTGAGCATCAAATGAAGCTAGCAGTAGCTAGGTTGAAAGTACACAAAAAGAGGCAGGTTTTTGCACAACACATGTTTGACCTGGGGAACTTGTTACTAGAGCAAGTTGTAGGTGCTACAGATCTATAGGTTAAAGGGAAGATGGGAAAGTGCCTGGCAGAAATCTAGTGGCTACTAAAGTCATAGAAACTACATCTGCCTTAAAAAAATCTCTGAGTTTGAAATATTGGTGGCAGCGAAAGTGCTGAAGAGGATTATTGCCTTTACTAATGCAACACAATATTGGTCCAGCAAAGCACTTTGTCTGACCCAATGTGGAAGCTCTTATGTTCAAGAAATTGCTTGTAAAATTTAACTGCCTTACCCTCATTTCAGTCCTGTCTTGTTAATTACACTGGGGAATTCTTCAGCTCATTTTCTCTGGCACACAAATTATTATTATTTCACTTTGGTTTTAAATTGTGCACACAAACAACAACAAAAATAGAACTGCAAGTAAAATTTACATTTTGAAGAAATCAGCTTCAGACTTTGAAATGAAACTGCAGTTGCTGGCCAAGGTCTTATTTCCAACCAGTTTACATAATTGGTACCACTAAATTTCAGAAGTTAAGACTTTTAAAGGAAAGATATGCCTATGATTAAGACAACCAAACAGCACTCTGGAGATCTCACTCTGATCTCCAGCAACACCACAAATTTCCTGATGGTTTTGGCAAATCAGTGGGCCTTCATCTGGCGTGAGCTGTTTTCAGTCAATGAACTTAAGGAAAGTGCTCAGGATAAGCACTTGCACAAGTGCTTAGTGAGTGAGCTTTTCACCTTGTGCATTTGTGTGGCAGTGGAAAACTTAGGGAAGGACCTTCTTGTAGTGCAAAGGGATGATTCATGGGGAGAGACCACTACCCAAAAGCTTTCTGCCTTGAGAGGGGAGACAAAAGGGGCATCGAGGGAAAGGAGGAAGGCAGAAAAAGAGGAAGAGTGGTGAGGAAAGGAGGAAGGTGCTTCTCACCTGGCTTTGAGGCCCTGAAGAGCAGGGATGGTCTGGAGGAGGGGGGTCGGGAGGGTCCCTGAGGAGCGGGACGCCCCAGAGGAGTGGGGCTGAGAGACAGGGGGCGAGGGCAGGGAGCGAGGGCAGGGAGGAGCGGGCAGGCCAGGGTTCGTGGGAACGCCACTCCCCGCAGCCGCAAGCCCCTTCCCGGCCTGAGGAGCCTCCTGAGGAGCCAACAGACGCTCCTCGCCTCCCCCAGCAGCCCTCCGGCGGCTCAGGGCGGAGCCGCCCTCCCCGCGGGCACCACCCGGTCCCGCCACCCATAGAGGTGGCACGGTGCGGCCAGTGCGAGCCCTCCTGCTGTTCCCTTGGGACGGAGTCCCTCCGCCTCCCCCTTCGTCCCCGCCTCGCTCCCCCGTCCCGGCAGCCTCTCCCGCCCCGTCCCTGTGCGGGTCATCCCGGCTCTCCGCCCGACGCCGAGAGGAAGCCGCTGCCGGGGCGATGCGACTCCCCGCCCCGCAGGCAGAGCCCCTTCTTCCCTTCCCATCCAAGGAGACACCGGGATCTGCCTCCGCTCCCCTCGGCCCTCCCCCTCGCACCCTCCCGGCTTCCTCCCTCTCGCCTTCTTTTTCTTTCTCTTTTTTTTTTCTTTTCCTTTTTCCATCCCCTCCCCCTCCTGGGAAGACCTGGCCGCTCCCCCCGCCCCGTGCTCAGTAGCCGCGGGCTCTGGGCGGTGGACGAGCGGCGCGGAGCGGGGAGCCGGGAGCCTGTGCCCCGGGGCTGCGGCCGCCGCCTGCCCCTCCGTCCGTCCTGAGGGGTGCCAGGTATGACCAAGACCCTTCCTGTCGTCGGCCGCAGGGGGAGAGGCAGCCCCCAGAGACATAGGTGGGCAGGAGAGGAGCTGGGGATGGGGGTTGAAGGGGCTGCCCGGGGCCGGGGACCGGGCAGTCCGAGGTAACCAGCGTCTCTAGGTGATACTCTTCGCGATGTCGTTCTTCCAACGCGGGTCGTTTTAAAAAACTGATGAGGCTGAGCGATGTCAGTACCTTGGGTTTGGCAGCTGGGAGGTTTTGTATAAAGCTCCTGCCTCTTTAGCCTTATGGATATATTTTTGATAGGACTAAAACGTCACACGTTTCTTTGGTACTTGTTTCTTAATATTTAAAGCCAGTTTCACAAGACGGCTTAACGGGACTGAGGCAAGGGGCATCTTTATTGGGCTTTCGGGGGGTTATCTCTGTGCTGTGCCATCTGCAGGGAGCAGGCAAGGAACCTCTTCACCGTTCAAAACAAACTCTCCTTAAATTCTGATTCATAGCCTCAGTATTCGGGCTACCATCCCCGCCGCTCCCCTGGAATTGACACTAATTTCATCCAGATTCGTCACTGCTGGAAGCAGATTTATCTTGGAATAGCAAAAATAAAAGAGCCGTGCCAAGGTATTTGACTTGCAGGCTCTGTAGAAGGGGAACTTCTTTGGATGAGGAGCGGAAAAGCAGAGCCTCCCGCGGAAAGCAGGGAATGGCTAAGGAGCAGTAGAATTAAAGCCTACCTCCGCAAATCCTCGCCTTTTTTCCGGGAAAGCCCTGGGTTTTAACACGCGAACGCATAGGAGCGGCCGGCAACAGCGGAGAGGGCGGTGGGAAAGCGGCTATCCTGGCAAAGCCATCCCTCCCCGCCGTTTCTCCGATCGGTTCCCTGTCGGTGCCCGCTTGCTGCCGCCCCGGAGCCGCTGCCCGGCTGGCAGGGTTAGACCCCCAGAGTCACTCAGCGGCAGAGCAGCGGACGGGACGCGACCTCTTTCCCCCTCCACCTCCAACTCCTCCCGGCCCGGAGGAGCGGGGAGAAGAGCCCAGCGGCGGGGAGGGTCGGGAGGAGCCCGCCCGGGACCCGGGGGATGGAGCCAAGGGATGGAGCCGCTGCCGGCTGTCCGGGAGCGCCGCCTCGCGGCCGGGAGCGGGGAAGCCCCGTCGGAGGAGAAACCCCTGTCCATTTACCGCCGATTCTTTATTTCCCCGCAGTGTTGAGCTGTTACGCCTGCCGTGTAAAATTAGTTCTTCCTATGCGTACTGAAGCTGCTTAAATTTTGTAAGAGCCAGGATCGGCAGTGGGTTTTTCCCCGTAAGTCAGAGCAGAGAATGATATCGATGAACATGGAGTGAACTCACCCAGAGGAGGGAACGGGGGATAGTGGCGGATAAGGTCAGGGTAGTGGTTTCTACCAGGGAATGTGAGATTTCAAAAATTTGTTCTTTATTTTGCTTTGTCAGAGTAGAACTGTCAGTTCCAAATTTCATTTCAAAAATGAGGCCAAAAGCAGTTAAAGGAGATGGTTAGTGTAGCAGCCTCTATCAATTTATGATCTGAAAATTGTGTTTAAAATTATGTAAGATTAGTTTGAAATGTGTTGACCTTCCTACAATAAGAAGGAAACCCCAGAGCAGAAGCTGCACTGAACAGACCAAGATAAAAACTGCCAGGTAACTGGGTAGAACTTTTCTTCTGTCTGAGCTACACTGACATGTAAATTCATGATGGGGTAGTCTGAAGAGAAACATATTCTAGTTCTGCTTGACTACAAGCCTTCCCCTGAGCATCTGAGATACATTCAGCTGCAGTCAAGTAGGTTATAGTGACAAAATACTTGAAGGATGTCTTGAGAAGTTAGGTAGTTTTTGTCCTGTGAATGCAGAA